GACTTTCAGTCATCAAGATATCCACTATCACAATATATCCTTATTTCGTACATTTCGGCACAACCATCTGTAGAACATTTATTGATAACTGCAATCTAAGTTGTTTTTAAATGGGCCATGTGAAATACAAGCCTTACAAATAGGAAGTTTTACCGAAACCTTAAACTTGAACTTGAAATTGAAGCAATGCTACAGTTACCACGAAACATAAAAGAAATCGGATGCTAGTTCTGAATTAAGGGAAAGTCACACGGGTCTAAAAGAGGATATTCCAAATTACAACAATAATTGGCATTGATCTCGGTAAACAGGCAATGAATGGGAAGTATGATGAATTAAAAAATATACATGGATACGATATCATACAGCTGAATACTGAGATTAAACAGCCACAGTCCGACTCTGTGGTTAGTGAGAAATGATTTGTTCCTAGCATAGGCACATGTGTAGACATGGCTTTAATTGCAAGACAATAAGTTTCCTTAACATCGCATACTATTAGTATCAAGTAGCTGCCGTATCCACTCTGCCTGTCACTTACCATTAATCACGCCATCAACCCCAACACCTTGAAAAACATTCCTTTTCCACATGACAATTTATATTATAGTTGCCAACTGAAAAATATCCTGTCAACTTCGGTGTTAAAAACAGGCTTTATAAGTATCATATTTCGGGAGCTGTCGTACTCCATTAAGATGGGTATGCGTAGCTCACAATGCAATACTAATTGAGTTTTTGTGGAAAGACAAAACCACGCTGACACATCGATAACTGCTTTTGTTTCCACCAGTACGTAAAGGCCTTTTAATACTGTGTATAATATTCATTTGTGTCGTCAAAACTTGTCAGATACGTCACCCATGAAATTAGTCTCTTGCTTTTTCAAGTGATAGGTTCAGTGACTAAAGCGTGGTATTCTTAATTGCAACTTATCAATGGTGAAATAATGTCAAAAGAACCCCACAAAATTATATACAACATGTAGTTATATTGCCAGCAATAATTATTAACATAAAACGTAAGAATTCAAATACTGTGACAGTAGCTAGCTGACTGTTTTTTCATTCACGATTTTTGCAGAAAAAAAAAAAAATTTCCAGCATAAATATTTACTGCACATAGACATTTTATGGGATCAATGTAGGCATTATATAATTTGTAAAATATCATTTTAATTAGTGACACTATTATAAGAATACACAATTACAAAATTTGATGACCTACATTGACATGACAATTTCCTAAATTAAAGATTTAAGGTATATTAACGATTCTCTCCATGAGCAAAAAAACAGAATAAAAAGCAATAAAAAAAAAATTCCTTTTTACCCGATCATTGTATTCTCCGCAACTCTGTGGGGGGAACCACTGCGATGTAATTTGTTTTACATAAATTTTATTGCCCATATTTGCATTTAGTCATCATTAACGCTTCTCAACAACAGTACATTCAGTACTAAGATTGATGTTAAGACACAATTCATGGTTATATTTATCATAAAGCTAGGGAGTAAACAGCAGGCAAAGATGAAATACACTTCACCATTAGTAACTCATTAACAATCTACCAGGCATAATATATTCCCTTACTGCAAATGACATCGGTACACAATCTCGTTCAATTCACAATAGTTTTCTTTGTATGTTACCAATGATATACTAATTAATTTAGTCATTACAACCAATAGACTGAGGAATGTAATAACAAACACACTATTCAATGTGTACATTTAATATAAATGTTCCGTGATGAAAAGAACCAATGATAACTTAGGAATAATTTTCTTCATCTATTAAAAACACACCGCCCTAGGACGATTATGCTTAATCATAGAATAATTATCATCCCGGACTATGATTTCCTTATTAGGATAAAGATAAACCACTGGTCCCTGTACTTTTTAAAAATAGAATACTTCTATTTAAATCTCTCTATAGATAATGGGTATAGCTCGTGAACTTTAGGTAAAAATCATGATAACGTACACATACAGTGCTTATCACCATCACTTCCCATATATGACCTGTCAAATGTTTCATGAATTACATGAGACAGGAAAAATCATGGATGTAGTAGCGAACATTTCACCATCGTCTTTAAAAAAAAAGAATTAATTTCGATACTCGTGAATATTCTCAACAACAAAAATTACTTGCAATAACAATTTTTGACATCATCATATATCGTAAAGAAACCTAAACTCTGTTGTTCTGAAACCTTCCTCCTCTATCTATATTCCCAATATTTATCACATACAATATAATACCCAGTAACAGAATTATGAAAGCCCTCTTTATTTCTTAGTTTCAAGACATCCACGGCAGGTCAGTAGCCGACTATGACATCCTGTTAATTTCCCAGTCGCCTTGTGTCCCCCTCCCCATTATGAAAGTGCCTAACCTCTATACCCCTCCACCTCTACAAAAATAGTCTCGGGATTCACAGTATCCATCACACTGACAGAGCACAGGTGTAGTCTAGCAGACATTTATCAGTACAAAAAAAAAGTCTAATAAAAGAAAAGGAGAAATTAGTCCAGCTATGAATGATGATCCGAGGCATTTCACAGGATACTACACACTGATACCCAACCAACTAATTAAACCAACCTACCAAGATTAAAACTGTGTTATGCCCCAGGCCTCACACGGTCCCACTGATTAAACTTCAAACTCATTATGCCCAGCACACACACAACTCCATACATTGGCAATCCTCCCGGGAACAGCGTTTAATTTTCGTCCATATATTGGTACAAAGGATGGTAAGATTAAAGTTGCGTACAGATCTATTAGTACAGTGTTTTGTTATTATATAACGAGGCGTAACGTACATGGGTCAGTTGAATGCAACACACAGGTCATAGCAGAACCAATCAAACATTGAACATAACAAAAACTATAACAGGAAAATGAAAACAAATAAATGATTTATTGATTATAATAATAATAAAATGTCGGTAATGCTTGATAAACGTCCAGCGTACGTCATGATGCAGAGCGAGTTGGTCGTGTTATCACAACAATTAGCCATTCTATTATTAGCACAGCCTCAAAATAGTTTGATGTATTTTGCCAGACTAAGTATAAAATGTAAAATTCCCTCGTTACACTGTGCCTACAAGAGGCACTTGTCACCACTGCAATACTATTGCCCTGTAATACTGCCCTGCTGTGCAATAGCATTGTCCAATATCACAACGATATTAACAACACAGCATTATGCTTACATGAGAACGGTTTTAACTGCTTACACAGCATAGCTATGAAAGGACTTGCACAGCGAAAAGCATATACAGCAAAAACGAAATACACTTCACGTAAAAAGCTTTCTCTTTGAGTTAAGTAATTTTCATAATAAAGAAAAACAACCTTTTGTTTATGTAGGCGCAACTGACTAAAAACATCCTGATAAAAACGTTGAATAGAGCCCAGTTTTATAGAAAAACACACAGAAATAACTGGAACATTTAATAATGATAGTGTTTAGTTCTCAATTAAGGAAATAATTTTCATCGGGACATGGGTTGCTTGAATGTAAGAAATGTTTCCGTGAACCCAGGCACTGTGGGCATCACCATCATCGCATCTTGAGGCATACTACAAGGAAATAAAGTCTTAATGTATGACAGGCATTCTTTGTCGATATTCAAT